CTCTGAATTCCTCTGACTGATGAAAATAGAGGCTGTGATTTCAAGCATCTTTTTGTCATTTAGGCAGTCCTGCCCCATGTGATACAGTAAATTTTTAATTAAGCTTTTTTGTTGTTGTTGTTGGTTTGTTTTTCCTTTTTAACACCAGTGTCCCAGTAAAGAAGCTCCAGGAAAGTGGAAACGTTAAAATCGTGATCTTGTCATTGCCTCACTCTCTGAGGCGCTAAGAACAGAATGTTTGCCAACAGATGGAGGAAAGGCCCTGTTGACTGTAACTGTGGGACTGCATGAGGATTATGCTATACAGAACAGTGGAGGTTGAGGACTGAGGCTGGGATAGATGCAGGCTGTGTCAAAAAAAAAAAAAAAAAAAAAAAAAAAAAAAAAAAAAAAGCATTAAGAGGTCAGGGACTTCTGACTTGAAATCACAAGGGCCTGAGAAGCAAAAACTTCTTAAAAGGTAAGAATACTAAGCAAATTAATGTGTGGACGTGTGCATGCATCTAAGTTTTGCAATCATATCAATGTGAACCTGGGTTTCATGACCACAGTGGCCCAAGTAATAAGCCCTTCTGTTGGCCCATTTTTCAGAGGAGTGTCAATTATGAGAGTAAAAAACACACACACACATGAGTTACAGGAAGAGTCTGAAGTCAAATAACAATTAAAGAAAAAGGGCAGGACAGCAACTCAGTCCCACAATTGTCTTTTTAAAATTAGGCAGAACTTTGAAAGTAAATTCTAAGTAGACTAATTTGAAGGATAAAGCGAGGAGAAAGTATGGGTGCCCATACCCTGAGCTCATCAAATACTTTGATCTGTTTCTTAAAATGCCCATGAGGTCTTAAGGCAATGGACCCTACGTTAAAAACACAAAGAACTGTGGCGTCTGATTTTTCAGATTTGAAAACACTGTGGCCCAATTCCATCCTGCAGGATATGAACACAACACACTTTTATAATTCAGTAAGAGCCTGAATTATATCCTTAGCCTACAACATTATGTCTCCCAGGAGATTCTAATATGCAGTTTAAGGATGAGGACCACTGGCTGAAAGGTTTCTTTTGAATCTAATTATAATTCAATATAAAACTGGGGATGGAAAGAAAGGAATGAAAGAGTGAAAGGAAGGAAAACAGAGGAAAGGAAAGAAAAGGAAAGGGAAGGGAGACAGAGAGGGAGAGGGGAGGGAAGGAAGGAAGGAAGGAAGGAAGGAAGGAAGGAAGGAAGGAAGGAAGGAAGGAAGGAA